AAAAAAAAGGCCTGTATCCCAGCAGTTTGGGAGGCTGAGGTGGGGGGATCACTTGAGTCCAGGAGTTCAAGACCAGCCTGGGCAACACAATGAGATCTCCCATCTCTTAAAAAAAAAAAAAAAGGGAAAGAAAAAAAGAAAAAAAAAAAGAAAAAAAAGATAACACTTAGTAAACATCCATAAAGTCCAAAGGAGAAGGAAAGCCTGAGGGAGGGGCACCACAGTCCTGGGAGGGGCCACAGTCCTGCCTGGAAAGAAAGTGGAGGTGCTTGCCGCCCTTCAGGCTTTCGGCCCATTGGAAGGTGGGGGCCCCCTCACGCCATCTAAGGGCTCCCTTCTTCGAGTCAAGGCGGGAGGCCCTGGTGCCAGGTACCCAGGACTTGCTAGACTGGCCAAATCTTGCACCTGCCAGGCCAGGGTCTCCAGCAGCTCCTGGCCGTTCCCGAGCCCCCTGTCCAGTAGTAGAGACCCCCGTCCGAAGCGAACAGGGAACCACCAGCCTCACAGTCCTCTGTTCCTCCCAGGAGGCCTGGAACCCACCCCTCCTGGGGCACCTGGGGAGAAAGCAGGGCCCGGCTCCCTGCATCCAGACCACGCTGGGCCTCCAGCTCCTGTACTCAGCATGGCCGTGGGCCCTGCGGTTTGCTAAGATGGGGCCATCGCTGTGGGCCAGGCTACGGAGGTGAGCAGGGAGGCATAGGGTTCTCTTTTGGACACAGAAGGGGTGAGAGGCCCGAGTGATCAAAGTGAAAACTTCAAGAAGGGCCTCTGGTCTCGACAGGGTCGGCTGGGACGCGGCTCCAGGGGTCTCGGCCCAGGGCACTTCAAGCTGTGGTAACAATGGCTCCAGTTCTCATCTCTACCTGGCTGTTTCCATTCCACAGTGGAGGCACTGAAAGAGTCGTGCCTCCTGAAGGGCAGGCATGGGTGAGCCAGGATGAAGTCGGGGCAGCTTCCGAGGCAGGGCAGGTCCCTTCCGCTCACACTGGAAAAGCGCATACCTCCAGGCACCAGCGAGAAAGGTCAGGTGGAGCCGTCTGCCCTCCAGCTCCACAGCACATGGCGGTTGCTACACTGAGAGCTTCCCCCACCCCAGCCTGGGCCACCAAGTCTGAAGAAGAGCAGAGAGCCATGGTCCAGAGAGAGCAGGGTGGGGAGGGACAGAGAGAGACACAGAGACAGAGACAGAGAGACAGAAAGACACAGAGAGAGGACAGAGAGAGATGGAGAGAGACAGGGAGAGACAGGTGGAGAGAGGCAGAGAGACAGAGACAGAGAGAGATGGAGACAGAGGCAGAGGTGGAGAGAGACAGAGAGGCAGAGAGAGGAATAGAGAGAGACAGAGACAGAGAGACAGAAAGAGAGAGAGAGGGACAGAGAGAGATGGAGAGAGACATACAGAGAGAGGCAGAGAGACAGAGACAGATGGAGACGGAGGCAGAGAGACAGAGACAAAAAGAGAGACAGAGGGAGAGAGAGATGGAGAGAGGCAGAGAGATAGGGACAGAGAGAGATGGAGAGCGAGAGACAGACACAGAGAGAGGCAGAGAGAAAGACAGAGAGATGGAGACGAGAGGCAGAGAGAGACAAAGACAGAGAGAGATGGAGGGAGATGGAGACAGAGACACAGAAATAGGGACAGAGAGAGATGGAGAGAGACAGAGAGCCAGAGACAGAGAGAGACAGAGAGAGACAGAGACAGAGATACATGGGAAGACAGAGAGATAGAGGGAGAGGAAGGAGAGAGAGAGAGAGAGAGAGAGAAAGAATGGAGAGACAGAGAGAGGGAGGGGAGGCTCCTCCAGGTGGAGCAGAAGGAAAGAACCTTCTGGGTGGGACTGGAAGCGGCACCACCGATCTTTCAGGTGCACCAGGTCAGAGGGAGGGGTTGGGGGGTCCCCACGCCTCTGGGAGGATAATGGGGCCAGCTGGGAAGGTGGCCAGCTAGGGAACGAGCAGTCTGTGCAAGTGACCACGAGCTCAGATGCAGACACCCCCCCACCCCAGCAGGAACGCCTGCTCCCAGGCCAAAGCCTGTCCCCTGGGCCCCACAGGCTGCTCAAGCCCACCTCTGCAAACGCTCAGCTGGACTCCTCAGCTGGACTCCAGGCCTCTGAGAAACTCCCGAAACTGACAGGACAGGCCTGTGGCTGTAGCCGGTGTGAGCCTAAGCTCACAAACAAGCCAGAATCCTGCCGCAGGTCAGGGAGCCTCCGAAACTTCCCGATCGATCCCCAAGGAGCCATGCTGCCCCAGCTCCCTGGACTCTGCCTTTGCTGGTAGAAGACATGGCAACACCCTTGCCGGTGGCCAGGGCAGAAGGTGGCTGGAACGGGAAGCCCCCTAATCCCGCCAGGCTGTCTAGACACATCGCTGCATGCCCCTCTGGGGATGAGTCACTCCTCAGAGCTGGGCTCCCCCTGCCCCCGCCTGTTTTTGCTTCCTCAGGGTCACCGCTGGCTGCAGGTGCCTCAAGGACACCCTGGAAGAGGCTGTGGGGGAGGGAGGATGGCATTCAGCACAGGATACACACGGGAGCCCCAGGCTGTCCTCTGTCCACCGTTCCCACCCCAGCTCTAGCTCTGCACAGGGAGGTCCAGACAGGGTGGGGAGCCCCTCTGGAGCAGCCTAATCGTGGCCGTCACAGCTCAAGTGGGTAGCCATGGGAATGGGTTATTTCTAAGCGTGGCAGGTACTGCCTCCCCCATCCCCCGCCAACAGCTGGCCCACGACAAGAAGGCGCAGAGACAAGCACTGGGCACCCTGCCTGTCCTGGCAGGAAATGTAAGGCAGTGTGCCGCACACGCTGCCGGCGCCAACGCCACCCGGGGCCAATGCCATCCGGGCCAGGAGAGGGTTCGGGGCCAGCCACCGGCCAATACCCAAGGGTCCTAGGGCAGCTGGGGAGAAGGGGAATCCACCTTTTTCTTCCCTCCCACCTCCCAAATAACACACAGACAGCACTGTTGATCTGAGGATGGACATTTAGACATTGGCGCCAGGTTTGCGCCTGACCAGCGCCACGCAGGGGTGGGTGGAGCAAAGACACAGAGGTGGGCTGCAGGTATCATGGGGCACCAGCCAGGGCCTGGGGTGGCTGGGGTGAAGGTGGGTGTTTGGCCAGTGACCAGGAGTCAGGTCAAGTCCAGGAGGTGCCAGGGGCTCCAGGAGGGGAGGGCAGTGCCATACCCCTCCTGGTGTCCAACGTCACCAGGCAGCCATCACAGAAAGCGACCTTAGCCCGGGGCCCGGGTCTGCAGCAGGTGGGCCGGGTCAGCTTTTCTTCCATGGCGGGTGGCACTGCTGGGCCAGATCCTGGCTCTGGACCCCTGGGCATGCAAAGGCTAGGGGTGGTGCTGTCAGTCACACCGTCGCTGCTGAGGTCCCCTGGGTTGGCTGAGGCTTGGGATTCAGGCCGCGGTGGAAGGTCGGACTGCTCAAGGCTGGTATCTAAGCTTCTGCCCTGGGACCCAGTGGTGATGGCCACCATCTGCCCCCATTTCCACAGGAAGTCCTAGTTAGCCGCACACACAAAAGGGGTACCCGGCCCTGGAGAACCACCAGCCGCCCCGGGTCTGAGAACACTCACCCTGGCCGCTGGGCCAGGCCTGCCATGTCATGGCTCCCGGCTGGTCCAACACCCTAAACGGTACAGAGCGCTGCAGGCCCTCACCTCATGCTTCTGCAGCGCTTGAAGGTGGGGGCGTCTCCAAGGGGACGCTGGCCAGGTGCATGGAGGGGCCGGCCAATCTTAGGGCCACAGACCCCCCTGGACAGCAGGGGGTGTTGGCTCCTGCAGTGTGGGCCCGAGATACTAAGGCACGAAGCTAACCTAAGCCCAGTGGGGTGGGGCGGGGGAGGACAGGCTTGGAGAGCTGCGTCCCAGGCCTGCAAAGCACAGTGACCTAGCAAGGGCGACGGTCTATCTGGGACAATTTGGCACAGGATGGAGGTGCGGGGTGATCCGGAGTGCCCATGGCTCTTGCTGGAAGGGGCTCCATGCCCTGGTCGCCTCCATGAAGGCCTGTGGTGAGCGGGGAGAGCCCTGGATGCGGCCGGCACAGCAGCGCAGGCCCAGGGGCCAATCCAGACCCAGAGTCTGGGAGTCTGACGCCCGGCTGGGAAGGGCGTGTGACGATGCCAAGGTGCCGGAGCCGTCGCCGGCAGGTCCTCCTCCGCGGGGATCTTAAGGAAGCAGCAGGAATGAGGAGAGGAGAGCGGGCGGAGGACCTGGGAGCTCAGGCGCCCTCGGGCAGGCGGCGCCCAGGTGGGCTGGCGGCC